AAAAAAAAAAATCTAACCGCCAGCACTGGGATACAACAAGCAAGGTTGTCTTAGCCTGGGTTCTGGATGGGGGAAAGAGTCTCCTTTGAAAATTCAAAACCCAAGTTCTCTGCCTTACGTGGTTTCATTTTCATTTATTCTTAACCCATAGGAAAAATTCATATAAGAACCAAGATGGTGGTGCAAGATGCTTTGTAGAAGCAAACACAATATTGCTTTAACATGGCATTCCCTCAACTCAGGCCACACAGAGGGGTCCTTCTGAAAATGACTTCATAATCCGAAATTATAAAATGCATGAGGGAACAATCTACCATGAATGAGTTAACAGACACAATAGCATTATTAGACTGGCAAGAACTTAGCTAATACAATAGTGCGCACACACACACACACACACACACACACATGAACTGATTAAACACACAAAAGAATTTAAAAATAAGAGGAAAGAACACACCTATTTGAAAAATCAATAAATACAACATCTAAAATGAAACATTTTAGACTCAATGTAAAAAGGAATGCAGGAACTTCTATAATGGCAGAATTGAGGCATACTCACCACTGAGGACAATAGAAAAGCCTAACAAAATATTACAAACCACCTGTCTGAAGACATCAAAAGGCTAACAAGTCAGGAAAAATAGGGGGCCAAGACACAGGAGAAGCAGGTAACCAACAGAGATGAGCAAGGCATTTGGGGCCATATGTTCCTAGGGGAAGCATTTCCTCAAGGTCTAGAGGACAACACTTGGGAGTCCAGAACCTTGCAAGAAGCATTCTTTTGGACTGGAACCCTGCAGGGCTCTATTTTAGGAGAAAAGGGGAATGCGTGGTAAATTGACACTTGCAGCGACTGAGTGCAGCTTTGCATCATCTCAGTTCTGGAGACTGGGTTAAGGTGATCTCGGGTTGTTCATTCTGGAAATCGGATTAAGGTGATCTTGGATTGTTCACACTCCTAAATGCCTGCCGGGAGCCAATGCAAATCCTTTCTGGAGGAATTAATATCATCTTAGGTCTCAAGTTATTTCTATAGTTCTTTATTTATATTAAATGTCTACCACTCAATCAAAGATATGCAGGCAGATAAGAAGACAAGACAATAAAAATGGACACACAGGGTATCCAGATAATGTGTTTTCAGAAACAGACTTTCAAATAACTATTTTGCAGTGCAAAAAAGTATACAAACTAGCTACTCTTCATGTAAGACAAAAGGGGATATAAGAAAATATCCTTGTATCTCCTCATTTGTGTTTTTTTAAATGTTTAAATATTTATTTTTGAGAGAAAGAGAGAGACAGAACACAAGTGGAGGAGGGGCAGAAAGAGAGGGAGACACAGGATCCGAAGCAGGCTTCAGGCTCTGAGCTGTCAGCACAGAGCCCCATGTGGGGCTCGAACTCATGAGCCCTGAGATCATAATCTGAGCAGAAGTCGGATGCTTAACCAACGGAGCCACCCAGGCGCCCCTTTGTATCTGATATAGAAAGGATAAACCAGAAACTGAAGAGATTGGGTACTAACTGGGATGGGTCAGGAAAGGGATAGAAAGAAGAGGGAAATGGGAACTGGGTAGTGGGCCTGGGGGAGAGCAATGCTTCTCTGTTCATATCTTTTTGTACAGCTCTGACTTTTAGAACCATTATAATGGTTCACATACACCAAAAAAAGCCCCAATTAATTAACAATGTAGATGCCACTACACACCTATTAGAATGGTTGAAAACCCAAAAACACAGAAAACACCAAATGCAGAAGAGGCTGTAGAACAACAGGAACTCTTCACTCATTGCTGGTGGGAATGCAAAATGGTGCAACCACTTTGGAAATAGTGTGGCGGTTCCATACACAACCATTCTTACCATACAATCACGAATTGTGCTCTGTCATTTACCCAAATGAATTTTAAAACTTACGTCCACCCAAAAAACCTGCACGTGGATGTTGAGAGTAGCTTTATTCATAATTTACAAAACTTGGAAGCAACCAAGATGTACTTCAGTAGCTGAATAGATGGTTAAACTGTGATACATTCAGACAATGGAATATTATTCAGCACTTAACAGAAATGAATGGAAAGGAAATAAGTGCTAAACAGGAATGAGCTATCAAGCCATGGAGGATATTCCCAAGTGAAATATTACTTCCCTTACACGAATATCACTAGTGCATATTAGTAGGCGAAAAAGAAGCCAATCTGAAAAGACTACCTATTGTGTGATCCCAACTAAATGACCTTTTGGAAACAGGCAAAACTATGGAGATAGTAAATGGATCAGTGGTTGCCAAGGGCTCAAGGGAGGTAAGGATACTTAGGCAGAGCACCGGGGATTCACAGGGCAGTGTGATAGTTAATTCTGTGTGTGAACTTGACTGGGATAAGGGACATCCAGACAGCTGGGAAAACATTATTTCTGCATGTGTCTGTGAGCGTGTCTCCAAAAGAAATTAGCATGTGAATTTGCAGACTGAGTAAAGGAGACTGCCCCCACCAATGCAGGTGGGCAACATCTAGTCTACCGAGGGCCTTAATAGAACAGGAAGTTGGAGGAAGGGGAAACTTGCTCTCTTTGCTTGAGCTGGGACAGCGTCACCTGCCCTTAGACACAGGAGTTCCTGGTTTTCCAGCTTTCAGACTTGCATCAGGACTTCTACCATCAGCCCCCTCATCCCCTTGATTCTCAAGCCTGGGGACTCGGCCTCACACCATCTGCTCCCCTGGTTCTCAAGCTTTCAGATTCACTGAATCATACCGCCCGCTTTCCTGGTTCTCCAGTTTGGAGGTAGCAGATCGTGGGACTTTTCAGCCTCCATAATCAAGCGAGCCAATTTCTATAACAAACCTCCTCTTTTATATATATCCTATTGGTTCTGTTTTTCTGGAGAATCCTGACTAAGGCAGTGAAACTATTCTGTATGACACTGTAATTAATGGTGGATACATTATACATTTGTCAAAGCCTACACCAGGCATGAAGTCTGATGTAATTTGTGGGCTTCATGTGATAAGAATGTATCAATGTAGGTTTATCACTTTTAACAAATGTACCACTCTGGTATAGGATGTTGATAGTGGGGGCGTATGCATGTGTTGGGGGCCAGGAGTGTATGGCCTTTCTGTTTCAATTTTGCTGTAACCTAAAACTGCTCTAAAAAGTAAACTCTATTTTTTAAAAACATTTTTAGTTATTTTATTTATTTTAGTTTTTAAGCTTATTTATTTATTTTGAGAGACAGAGACAGAGAGCAGGGGAGGGGCAGAGAGAAAGGTAGAGAGAGAATTCCAAGTAGGCTCCATACTGTCAGCACAGAGTCCGATGTGGGACTCGATCTCATGAACTATGAGATCATGACTTGAGCTGAAATCAAGAGTCAGACGCTTAAGCGACTGAGCCACCCAGGTGCCCCTAAAAAGTAAACTCTATTAAAAGGAAAAAAATTACGAGGTACAAACTTCCAGTTCTAAAATGAATAAGTCACAGGATGAAAAGTACAGCAGAGGAAATATAGTCAATAATATTATAATAGGGTTGTATGGTGACAGATGGTAGCTACCCTTGTGACCAGCACTGCATAATGTACAAAACTGTCCAATCACTGGGTTGTAACTCTGAAACTAATGTAACATTGTATGTCAACCACACCTCAATAAAGAAAAGGAAAAATAATGGAGACAGATGCTATTAGATACTATTAACTAGTAATAAAATAATGTGATTTGGGTATTAATATAGATAGATTAGAAAAAAGA